GTTTGGTGCTTATAGAAATTTTATTGTAAATAGATCAAAACTATTTTGGTATAGTTTCATTGGCTAGCTTGGTGCAGTCCCCTCTAGAAGAGGGGGTTGTGGTTTACATAAAAATTTTTTTTTTCAAAAAAAATTTTTTCCAAAATTTTCTGTAATATATAAAAATTTTCCGAAATAACCTGTAGCCCTATGTATATTTTTTTTACTATGAGGGAGAGGTTACGCTGAGGAGAGAGAGTAATGTAAACCACAAAATCAAGTTGGTCTCGCCTTATCATGCAAGTTACTACAATTTTTCTCTTAATATAATGAGAATAATCAAAATATTGATAAAATATACACATACTATAAAATATATGTATAGACAAAAAAAAAATCATCACAACGTGATATCATAATCTTCCTCATTATTTAATGGTGTAAAAAAATCATTAATAGACGTTTGGTGCTTAGATACAACATATTTTCTGTTATCAGAGCTAAGTATTTTCGAAAAATTTTAAGATCCTTAGCTTTAAACTCTTCATCAATTTGTTGTTCAAAGAAGCTAATAAATTTATTTAAACCTATTAGCCCTTCTGAAATAGGAATTTCCGGTTGTTCTTCATCTAAATCATCAAGATCTCCATTATCGCGTTGATTTGCTTTATCTAAAACAATTTCAATAATCTCTGAATTCTCAAGCTTTTCTTCAGTTATGATATGCAAATCATTAAGGCCTAAATATATATTTAATTGGTATTCTATTTCTGGGTCCAGGTCCTGAAAGGTCAAATCTATTACCAATTCATTGACATCCTCTTCTTGCTGTTCTAACAGCGCATCCTGACTATTGGTAGCGACTTCTATTTCTTCACGGGGAACTGATGCCAAGATTCCAGTTTTTCTCCAACAATTGATGATTACTGTATCTTCAACAGCATCCCAAGACTCAGATACATAGTAAATAGCATCCTTAATATTTAATTTTTTTCTAATTAAAATTGAAATATAATTAGCATTAAACATTATTATATAATTAAAGGATAACACTAGTAAAATTTAAAAATTCACCGTGTTGAATAGCATGATTTGAATGCCACTCAAACTGCTATTCGAACTACCATTCAACACTATCATATGATTTCACTGACACGCATGTCTGTGAAATCATATGGTAGTATTGAATGGCAGTTTGAGTGGCATTCGAATCGTGCCATTCAACACAGTGAATTTTTTTAATTTTATCAGGGTAAGTTCTTAACTTTTTTAAATCTTCATTGTTTCCAAGCTGCATTAGTATATGATGAATATATTTTTGTTTATATTTGGATTTGAAACTTTTGATAATACCTGCGCCCATGGGTTGAAGATGAGCAGTGGTATTTGGAGATAAAATTCAAGTTTAATATTAGTCAATCGTACATTTGAATAATCAGCAATATTACCATAACTACTATCATAATAGCCTTTACTCCTGCCAGTGCTATGTTTACCACAGGTACCACGATTATTATGACTACCACAACTAGTACTTGCACCCTGATTAGGTTTGGTTAATCTTGGTCAACCTCAACCTCGATGATTTCTGCGCGAAATAGCTATCACCTCAGGTTCTGAATTATTAGATGTTTCTTTATCCAAATCAGAATTTGATTCAATTGGTTCATTTAATTCACAAGTATTAGATTAGTCATGAAAATACGATGAGGCATTATCTACTATTAGCAAGACTTGGCGATTCTGAATGCAAAACCTCTGATCCAAGTTTATTAACCATTCAGAAAATACGTCATTTTGCATCTATGCTCGTGAATTTGCACGGTAAAGAACAGATAATGAATCATAATTAACATTATGAAGTGCACGAGGAGAAATTGAAGACCAAATCACTAATGATTTTAATTTTTTTGTTCCACTTGCATTGCATGCTAACATAATAGTAATTTGTGAGCGATCCTAATTATCATACAAAAATTAAATGTTTAAAAATATTATGTGTAAATTAAATGGTTGTATCTAATTTTTCTGGTGATCCCTTCACTACGAGCTATTTATCTGATATTACACAAGGTAATAATTTACCAATAATATATACCTGCATCTAAAATGTTGATTCTAACCCAATGTGATACCAGATAAATAATCTGTCAGCAAAATGACCATCAGAAAATAGCAACAATGATATTAAATTTAATTATAAGGCATGCCAAATTAATTCTCTGTTTTACATAATTCTTTTTATTTTTTTAAAAAATATATATAGTCAGACCATTCTAAATGCATAGCCATAGGGCGGCCAAAAAATCTTGTATTTAAAAAGATATTGTATTTAGAGAGGTAAAAATCTATAAGTGTCATATGAGTTGAGGGCCAACAAGGCCATGCATTTAGAGAAGTCTTTTATAGACTATTCATTTAGAGAATATGCATTTAGGGAGGTCTGACTATATATATAAAGTATTACATTAACTTATCAAATTGCAGTATTATTTTTTACATTTTTTTTTATAGCCAATGAAATTATTGTCTCTCCTCCTTACAAAAAATATTTTATGTTAAACAAAGAATTAATTTGGAATAGACTAATATAATTACTAACTTTTTAAATTCAGGTCTTGATCAAGATGCAAGTGTTTGGTCTGGTGCCATATGAAAAAAAAGCCCTGTTTCATCTGCGTTGAACACGTTATCCAATGTATAGTTTTCAATCAATTCACGCAATTTTTCTCGATATTCAGGAAGCGAAGATAGTGGCGCACTATTAGCTTCTCTATGTAATCTAACGTTTCTAAGATTATTGCGCTGTTTAAACTTATGAACCCATCCATTTAAAAATTTTAAAGCATCTTCACCCAGGTTCAAGGCTTTTGCAAAATCCGCTGCCTGTTCTTTAATCATTAGTTCAGTTAAAAACATTTTACTATTAGTAACTTGTTCAACCCAGATTCTCATTGATTGATCCAATAGGGGATATTTCACTTGTTTATGTCGAAATACGGTAAAACTTAATTGGTCTTCAGTAACCATTAACTATTTTGATTTATTTTTTAATATTTTAGAAACCATAGACTGATCTACTTTTAAATTGGGATCTTGAGAATTAAAATGGTTCACTATATCTATTTGTCTTTGATTAGGATTATTTTGACTATATTCACATATTTTTTGTTTTAAATATTCACTAATAGCCGTTCTTTGTCTTTTTTGCAGTAAATTTTTAGATGACATAATAAAGAAAGTATTTACCCGAATATTATCTAAAGGATTTATGGAACTAATGGTTTCTTTTATATTTAAATACTTACAGTGTGCTATATACGAATTTTATTGATTTTTGTAATGGCAAATACAATCATAAATT